TCCATACCAAAGGACAAATAGTTTTATTTGAAATAAAATTCAACCAAGAAAAGCATTAAGCACCAGGGAAGCGGCTGAAAGGTAAGAAGAGCTTTATAAATGCTCTACAACTTCCTATCCAGATAGAAATAGCTGTTTGGAAGGGTCCTTGATAAGGCATGCTGGGTGAGACCGGCTAATATTTGAAGCTCATCATGTGTATAAGCCGAGCTTCTCAGCACATTTCTAATGCAGCTTTTGTGATAAAATTAAGCACCTCGGCTGATATTCGGGTCAGCTTATACTTGAGTATATAAGGCACTTGGCTACCAGGGGCTTCATATAGAAAATGGGATGACTTAAAAAAAGTCACTTGATTTAAGAGGGCAAGGCGAAGGGTTGTCTCGGTGAGCATTCAGCCTCTCATAACTCACCTGCTGAGAAATTCATTCTTCCTAATGAGAGTCGACGGCCACAAGATGAAGGGAAGAGGGCAAGTCAGGAAACAGGAAGGAAGCAGACAGAAAGGGAAAACCTGTAAGATCAGAAGGGATGGCCCCGGAGAAGCAACACACACAACCCTGCCCACGGGCAAACCCAGCGGTGTTAGCAACAAACTAGCACAATAAGAAAACTCTGCATGCCCGATTTTAAATCAAGTCTTAATTTCTTAAAATCATTTCATTAGGGGCTCATACAACTCTTACCACAATCCATACATACACCAATTGTGTCAAGCACATTGGTACATTCATTGCCCTCATCATTCTCAAAACATTTGCTTTCTACTTGAGCCCTTGGTATCAGCTCCTCGCTTTCCCCCTCCCTCTCTGCTCCCCCCTCCCTCATGAACCCTAGATAATTTATAAATTATTTTGTCAATTAAGTCTTAATTTACAGAGAAGAATGGAAGAAGTTTTTTTAAAAATGAGCTTACAAGGCAGGCAGACATTTAGTCAGAAAAGACTGGTTACTCTCCATGCCCTGCTCACACCCCCCCCTCGCCCCAATTTTTTACACATTATCTGTCCACCAAAAAAAGGGATGAATTAAAAAAAAAAAAAAAAAAGCAAATCTACCTATGAAACAAGTCTTTTTCCAAACAGAGTAACTCATAGTCTTGAAGCGCTCGTGTTTGTGAAAGGTCGCTCGGTCACTGGAAGGGCAGTAAACTTTATTAGCACGTCCATCCGGGCATCTCTAGCAGTTAGCTACAGTCTCAAGGACAACCTTCCCTACTCTGGCCAGTCTGCACCCCTCTGCAAGTCTTTCTTATTTTAAAAAAGGCCTCAGTGGAAGGAGAAGGAGTGTCTTCAATCCTTCCCACCCTGCCTCTTTTTCCTACCTGGCACTTGTCTAGGAGGAGCACGTTCTGCACTTGAGCTATATCCATCCGGGGCCTCCCTTTTCTTATCTATAGACCCCAAGTCCTAGACAACAATGCTCCCACAGACCGCGCTTTCCTGTTGAGGCCGAGCTCCTAATAAAACACCCAAACAAAGGGGCCCTGCAGCTGCCTGGGAATGAACAGCAGCGGCGCAGAGCATTTTACTTCTAGTCAGTGCACGACTTTTTCCCTCTTGGGTGAAAGGAATGACAATTAGACTAAAAGGCCACCACTGCACAGTTTTAAAGTGACCACTCTTTCGAGAGCGATGCCGGCTGGGCACACAAGCACAACACGAGGAGGTTGTCAGACCTTTCTTGGGCTTTCCTGCATTTAACAGAAAAGACGAAAGGACAGAGGGTTCATTCATTCCAAAGCTTGTAAAAGGTTCAGGTCCCAAGTTTGTGCAGAAGCCAGTAAACCTTTTGAAGTCAGGAGTGCCCTCTCTGGGCTCCCTGCTTTATACTCAACAGTCAGAGAGCTTGGTACGCAAGATTCATGTAGTCAGTGTGATTCACACAGTGCCGGCTGAGGGAGCTTGATACTTACACCACCGTCCTTGATGTTTCCATTACGAATGGCAGCAAACAAGAAAACAGTTCATTGAAGTTAATTGTGTAAGTGAAACAATTCCTTCATTAATGGGTATGCTAAATTTGAGCTTCAAGATGTGCTTTCTCAAATTCCCTTTTAATCATGGGATTTTTAACTAGCACATGCTGTTTCCATGAGACAAACAAGTGAGATCAAAATAATTCTCAAGGAAATTATGTCTGGTCCCTATGGGCTACCTGTATGGGCTTAAGAGAAAATCGGCCCATCTTACAGTGAGCGGCAGTGGCTCTACACAGGGCAGCCCCTCCCTTTCCCTTCTCCTTTGAGTGGAGAATGGCTGGTCTCCAGATTCCACATCTGCTTGGATCAACACACACACGATGCTTCTGTTCCCTCGGAAGGTCTCCTCAGCAGCAGGTGAGGCTCTTTACGAGGAGTGTCACGTGAGAGCTGCATCCGAGACAGACTGAGGCTGCCATCCTTTGGGTACACACAGGACTTAGTTATCAGTATGAACAAAAGCACAAACCGTAGGTCACATTGTAGAGGGCAGGCTCAACTGTGACCCCAAGCCCAATTTCCTCTCTGAATTTGGCCTGGGCTTCTCTATTTCGGGGGAAACTGAGGCATGAGTAACAGATTAGACAGGACTTCAGTTTCACCCTAACTCACTCACGCAGTGATGTCAACAGCTCTTGATTTGCAAGGAGCTACTTGTATCACCTGTGGCTGGGGAGACCCTCCAGGGCAGAATAGAACTGTTCCACAGGGTACCCCAAGTTATAAATCTTTTAAGGAAGCAGACTGCCACACAACAGTAGAATAATCGGAGACCAGGCTCCATCTCCCGAGTGCCTGCTCTCTTCTTAAGCCGCTACTGCACAGAGAAACTGAGTGTGATGAATGGCCTTTGTTGGTGTGGGGGACAATCCAAGCTTTGATGACTTCAGCCAGTGGTAAAAATACATTTAAACAGAAGCCTGCTAATATTCAAAGGAAAATTCTTGAGCAGAAAATAGACTGTCCTACAAGTGAGCAGTGATCAATGAGGGCCCAAATATAAAGACTCATTTCTCCTCGTTATTTATACATCATCAAAACAGAGGTATTTTTAACTCATGAAGGAAATTATGATAAAGCAATTGTAAACCACTCTTAAGATATTGGAAGCCTCTCTAAAAAACATTAGCATTTCTACATAACTCTCAAATCACTTCTAGTTTGATTTTAAAACTTCCTTTCAGTGATGTATATACAAAGACTGTAGGTCTCTGTGTATACAGAGCAAGCTCCAACAGGTCATCAAAACATTTCATTATCTTTTAGTTCAATTTTCCCATGAAGTTATCGAAGTACCTTCACACACACACACAATTATAAATACATATCCTTGTTGTTGGTAAGCTGCTGTTGTACTGGGCCCCAACTCATGGATACCCCATATATTATGGAGTAAAACCACTCCATAGGGCTTTCTTCATTAATGGATATGTGTGTGTGTGTGTGTGTATACATACATATATATGTATGTGTATATATATACACACACACACATACATATATATTAATAAGGCCCTAGTGGCCAAGAATCAAGCTAAGCAGCCACTCCACAAGGGAAAGATCTAACAATCTGCTTCTCTAAAGATTTCAAACATTGGAAACCCTGTTTCTACTCTGTCCTATAGCACTGCTGTGAATCAGAAGCAACTTCATGGTGCAGAGCAACAATACTTACAGAATTACACACATACACATACACACCAGGGAGTGTCTTTATGTATACACACACATGCACAAGAGGACATCCAAAAGTTCACGGGAAAATTCCATTATCCTTTAATTCTACGTGTCCATGAATGTTCTGAAGGTCCTGTGTATCTATGCACATATACACACACCATGGGAGACCAGCAATTACCCACTGGCACCATCCACAGAGAGGCCTAGTAGTCAGGAATGAATTCCCGCGTGCTGGCAGCGGGTAGGATTCCCAACCCACCACTGCATGAATGCGTTTGGATATTAGTGTCTGCTTAAATTCAGAACATAATTTTATGAGGACATTTCTTGAAACTACATAGTGTCTTATGTGTCTTTCTTCTTCACTCGCCTATCAGTGTTTCAAGGGCAAGGATCATGACATTCGGCTGCATTCTTGGTGACCAGTACCATGCCTACAGAAACGTTAGGGCCAATATAAATGACTAAACTACTATGTTAACACAGTAAACCTAACCCTCTCAGTGGAGACAGGCAGATTACCTCTCTCAATTACCAATTACAGAATTTTCTTCCAGTCCTGGAAAGACTACTTAGACCCCCACTATAGACTCCAGGTCTTATTACAAAGAAACACATGTCAAGGTTTCAGAGTCTACTTGAGACTAACAACCACACAGTATCAAGACCCAAGCCCACATTAAAAGGCCTAAGTGGATTCTGAGCCACCATGCCTCTGTTCTTCACCAGCCCAACAACTCTTTAGCTCATGGATCAACTCACAGCGGAGGCTCGTGTGCTGTTCTGATACTGACCACGTTTCAGCAGAGCTTACCAGCTGAAACGGACTAGAAAGAAAGTCTGGTGATCCACTTTCAATAACATCAACCAATGAACATCCCACGGATCACCACTGTCTGATCCCACTGTAAGGGTCACCATGACAAGGGCCAAGTGGCTCCCCCACGAACCAAGTGGGCAATCTGAAGTCTGGCAACGTCTCTGCCTCTCCATCGTTTCTCTTTTCGTTTGACTAGTCAAAAATGAAGGTCAGTAATTCTCTCAGGTCTTCTTGGTTTTAAAGTTCTATTGAATTAATAATGAACAAGGGGTGTGTTTTAAATGCATTCACTGCATACATATTTAGGAAAGTTAACATTGCACAGCAACAAGGATCTTGCAATCTTTGTCTCTCTCCCCAACCCCCTTTCTTCTTCCCCAGAGGAGACATTTTAAGAGTAGAATTTAGGGCGACAGTTGATCCCTTCTCCAACCTTTTCCAACACTGCCCCTGCTCTCTCTCCACGAGAATTCAAATACTTAACAAAAGACCATAGCATGCGATTTCAAGGGTACCTACCTCGAAGCATCCTCCGGGACTCGGAGTCTTTGGTCATGGTAGCCAGTGAGGGAGGGAGCACACTGCCACAACTGTTGCTCTGTCCGAGAGGCAGGTGAGCCTGTGGGAAACAGGGGAAAACACGTCAGGTCCACTGCGGGCAACCAGCCCTTCAGCAAGTGGCCACACCCCTCCCTGCTCCATTTCTCCTCAGGGCAGAGAGCAGAGAACGCCGGTCTTTCTTCGGGTGCTGCTTATTGATGGCTGAGGGGCAGGGGCAGCCGCGGTTCCTTCATGGGAGCTTCCTGCAGGGCCAGCATCCCAGCAGTTCTTCCATGGCACAATTCCCAAAGTGAAGAAAGTTGGACGGGCCACTGTCTGCTACCACCTTAGGGAGCAAGTGCCAGATCTTCATGCATAAGGAGCAGGGCAGGCCAGGAATGCACGCACGCCACGCAAACAGGCACACAGATCTACGCCGGCCATCAATCGCTGCAGCCATTTTCACCTACAGCCCGTTTATCTGGGTCACTGAAAACTGGAGGAACCTATGAACGAGTCCCGAGGCTTTAATGCTCCATATACGTAGCCAACACCTTTGGGTCAATAAAAATATAGTACAATGATTTATGTCGAAAAAGGTTACAACAAAGCTACGCTACACTTAAAGGCAGACGGCGGATCTTCAAATCCGGCTCTCTCCTCTCTCTCTCTCTTTCCTTTGCAGGGACCCCCGGGGCATGTCTCCGGAAGGAGAGCTCAGGCAGCAGATCATTAAGGTCACACTCCAGATCCACTCTCACTAACCGAGGGCACCTGGCCTGGTCACCTGGCTTCTTCACACGATCAGTTTATCCAGCCTGACGGCGGGGGGGAGGGGGGGGGAACACACTTGTTTCTCTAGGCAGGGGTCCTCAAACTTTTTAAACGGGGCCAGTTCACTGTCCCTCATACTGTTGGAGGGCCGGGCTATAGTTTAAAAAATAAACTATGAACAAAACACACCCCGCATGCAGGCCGGATAAATGTCCTCGGCTGGCCGCATGTGGCCCCCGGGCCGCAGTTTGAGGACCCCTGCTCTACTGCATAGTGTTGCCAGTTTTCAAAATGGGGCAGTCCACAACAACAGGCTTAGTCCAGGCTCAGGTATAGATATGGACATAACTCAACAAACATTGGCTGCTACTCCTCCAGGGTCCTCGAGCCTGTATCCTCACTTATTCCCAGACCTGGTACAGCCAGGGCATTTTGACATGCTCAGGAATGCTACCCATCAGGGGTGCTGTGGGGGCTGAAAAAACCCCAGACCAGGCTCTCTGGTCCCAGAGGGTGCAATTCCAAATGTCCGCCCAAAAGGATAAAGAACACAATCTAGTCCTGACTCTCCACACAGGTGAATAGAAGGAAGTGTTTTACGTAGCATTTTCCTATTCTTAAGGGCCCCTCCACCCCAGTCACCATGATGACCAGGAACGCCCCACATCCTACCTTTGGGGTGGAGCTTCTCCCCATAGTAGCGCTCCTGAACTGTGACGATACGGGAGGTGTAGTTTTCTTTCGAGGCAGCGTGTCACTCAGATAGAGGCCTTCTTGGTGCTGTTTTCTCCTTTCCTCCAGACTTCTAAAGTGCTTCAAAGGCAAACGCAAAGCAAGATGGCACAATTTGGCAAGTGGGAAGAGATCGTTTATGAAATTAAGAATTCCGCCACGTACATGGGAGTTTTGGAACTTTCACACTGAACTCCTGGTTAGAATGAAACTTACAGGTGCTCACTAGCAGGCTTGGGATACACCTGATAAGATGCAGAGGCCGCAAGAATTTATTAATGAACCTAGAAAATTAAAAGCATAAATAAATCTGCCTGTCACTTCAACAGTGCCTGTGCCTCGGCGCCTTACACATTGTTATGATGGTCACCGCGTGGCTCGTGTGCAGCGAGTGGACAAAGCCCGTAAGCAGCTCTCCCCATCTCCCTGTCTGTCTGACAGTTTTGCGTGAGGCACAGAGCCCAGGGGGAGGAGAGCGAGGACGGGGAGAAGGAAGAAGAGAAAGAACAAGTACACGGAAGCCGCTGTAAAGCTGTAATCCTGTTTCAGTCACATGCCTACACTGCAAACCCAGCACCCATCTAGGTTATTTATTCAAACTGGGTTCGGCTGAGGAGCCAGTTTAAAAATACACCTGAGGAATACTCCTTTTCTTTTTCTTCTTTCCAATTCCTAAGGCAAGATTTTGTCAACTGGAATTGATCCACCCTTTCTTGGATTCACCCTGCTTGTCAACCCCACAGAAGAAAAACTGAGTCTTCAACAGTTAAGTGATCTCCTAATTGATAATTTTTCAGGGTTGATTATGTTTATACTAAATGTCGGCTTCTGGCATATATATATATTTTAAAAACAACCAATGCACACGTGCTACCAAATTTGTGAACAATCTTAAAGTTTGGCTATCATGAAAAAAATCTGCATTTTAATTTATGATTACTTATCTATATTAGTTAATTTTTATCAGTATTTATAATAGCTATTAGATATTACGTAGTGCAAATTAGTCCATTGTATAATTGATATTAATTGGCAAAGAGTAAATACTAACATATTACTATGTGCCAGGTATGTTCATCATTGCTTTACATGTTATTTCATTTCATTCTCATAATAATCCCATGGCTCTGATTAGCCCAGTGTTACATATAAAGAATCTGGGGTACAGACAGACCAAAGAAACATGTCCAAGCTTTGTCTATTCATAAATCCCCAAATCTCAAAACTTTAGAAAGTGGCAGCGCATCTAGGCAAGCCCAGGGGCTCACACCGGGATAAGAACGCTGCACCTGGGGGCTCCCGCTCGGTTTAATTGGGGAAACAGCATCAGAACTCCGCAGTTCAGCTCTCACTGGGAACAAATGCCACAAACTCCAAATTTCAAAACTTCCCAGTTTTCCGTAATAGGCAGCATAATACAAAGCAAAGAACGTCCATTGAAAATACAAGTTAATTAATATCTGGCACAATAAAAGAAAGAAGGGGGGGGGGTAACCCTAAACAAAACCAAAAACAGGTTTAAAAACGGTTTTCTTACTAGAGATACCATTCCTCCTAGCTGTGGCTGCGAGCGAAGCTGACCGACGGGACTGAGGTGTCTAGGTGGTCCCTGACTTCCACGGGCCTTCCTCGGCCCACTTTTCACACGACCCCTTGGCTTATTTCACTGCAGCTGTCCCACAGTAACCCCCAAGCTGAGAGGCAGAGGGGGATACAGTCCCTTTCACAGGAGGTCAGAGATAAGAAAGGTGGGTGTTACTCTCCTGGGCAGGGCCCAGGAGCACCTGTGACTCAAGGAGTTAAGTTAAAGGTCAGCTGCTCAACCCACCAGGTGGTTTGCGGAAGAAAGAGGAGACCTTCGGCTCCCGAAAGGTTTACACCTGAGAAACCCTTTGGAACCCTTTTGCCCTATGGGGGTCACTAGGAGTTGAAGTCAACTTGATGGCAGTCCATTGGGTGGTGACCATGTGTCCTTAGAATCTCCTGGGATAATCACCACATTCTTGTAGGCCAGGTGTCCTCAAACTACGGCCCGCGGGCTACATGTGGCCCACCGAGGACATTTATCCGGCCGCCGGGTGTTTTTGCCCCATTTGTTTTTTTTTTCACTTCAAAATAAGATATGTGCAGTATGCATAGGAATTAGTTCATAGTTTTTTTTTAAACTATGGTCTGGTCGTCCAGTGGGTCTGAGGGACAGTGAACTGGCCCCTGTTTAAAAAGTTTAAGGACCTCTGCTATAAGCCATCGAAAGGGAAGATTGAAAACTAAATTTTTCTGAAAAGCCCTCCATTAATAGGCATTGGGTGTGTTAAAAGGAGGACAACACTCAGTATACTATATTAATTATTTTAAAAGCTGGTCATTATGCTGAGTGCAATGAACCGGACCCAGATGGATAAATATTATAGGGCTCCCGTTAAAAGAATTATATCGAATAAGCAAGCGTCTAGAGACTAAAGTTTATCAGTGGCTGCCAGGGTGAGCGGGAGGGCAGATTCGGGGTAGTGAGAAACACTGAGTTTGTTAGGAAAAGCTGGAAATAGATCGTGAAGAGGGGTGCACAATACGGTGAGTGTAACGAAGGTCACCAACGTGGACATGAAACAATGGTGGAGATGGTCAGTGGCAAATTTGTGCTAAAGATATTCATCCATATAGGATAAATCGATAGATGATCTCCACAAACTCACTGCCATTGAGTCAACTCCAACCCATAGTAATTCTTGCCCCAGTGGGATTCCCAGCCTGTAAATCTTGACAAAAGTCGAAAGCCTCAACATTCTCTCTCAAAACAGCTGGTGGGTTTGAAAAGCCGTTCTACTACATGTATGGGCACGATAAAATAATAATTAAAAACGACTTTGTTGTTGTACGGTCCAAACGTGTACCTCTAAGCTAAGGTGACCAGATGTTAACATTGGTAAAGCGGGACACCATTAATAAAACTCATATCCTGGCGAAATAGCCACATGGCAGCCGAAAACCGTATACCCTAGCTTGTCGTGCATTCTTTCCAAAAATTGGGACTTTTTAAAAACGCCGCGGGATGTGGGAAAAATTGTTAAAAATCGGACTGTCCCGCCAAAAGCGGGACATTTGGTCACCTTACTCTAATTTTAAACTTGGAAAAACAAATTGGGCAGAGAGTGAATTCCCTACACATCAACACGAAGATCACGCTTATTTCATGAGACTGATCGAAGGATAATGAGATATTTGTAAACTTAGAAAAGTATTAGCGAAATTCGACATATCAAAGGAATTACATGTAAGAAGTTAACACTTCTATGCTGTATGGACAAAACAAATTTTTATACCATGGTGTTTGTTCGGTTTTTTTAACAATTAGAACCAAATTTTCCTTTTTTGTCTTTGGAATCATCTTTGATGACATCATCATCTTGAGATTCTTTGCCACGGTTTTTAACAACCACACGAAAACTGCAGCCAACCACTTTTCAGGGGGTTGCTGCGCTGTCAATTCTGCGGAGGCCCGAATCACTGCCCTGGATTCTGCCGTGCAGTCTGTTGCCCACCTTAATGAGGTCGAGCCGGGGTCAGCACCCAGGGCCTCCACTACCTTGGCCAACGTAGGCTCGTCACAGTCGGAGGCAAGCATGCAAAATGGGCTCGGTGCTCGCGACCAGCTCAGAGAGCAAATTAACACTGCGCAGCACTGCCAAGGTACAGATGGCGCCAGGACCTGCTGAAGCACACCCAGCAAGGCCACGGCCGTTCCCACTGGATTCAATGGCCAGTCTCCACCAAACGGAATCGGAAGGCCATGAAATTATCTGGTGTAGGGATCATTACCATCCATTCAGATTCTGCTCAATTAGTAATCAAATGCATGCCTTGTTTTGCCAGTGTAACCAGGAGACAGAACTTGACGAAACATTTACAAGTGCTCCAAATGCTATTTTTTCTTTCATACCGTCGACTTTAGGGAAAGAAGAGTTATTAGATTGAAAAACGTGGAAGAACTGAAAAGGAGAAATGACACCTGAGGATGTGAAACCCACCCAAATATACAAGAATCAGAGAGCGGCCCATCGAGCTCTCAAAACTTGCCAGCTCCAACATTCTGAGATCTGAGAGCATGCTAAGGATCCTAACAAAATAAAACTATGATAAAGCAAGAGCATGCAGCTTGCTTAAAAAACAAAGGAAAAACAAAACACAACAAAACCTTGGCGCTTAAAGAAAAGATTCTACGTAAGCAGATTTGCTGTCTCCAGATAAAAATCTCTCACTTGAAACAGCAGGCGCTCGTTACCTGTGGCTCCTGCTGCCGCTGCTGCTGCTGCCGCTTATGTTTCTTAGCAGGTAGAGGCGGAGGTGTGGCGTTTAAAGGAAATGGATTGACAGACGGAGTCAGGACTTCAGGCCATGGGACTGATGGAGGTTGAGTGACAGGTGGAGCAGAAAGAGAAGGCAACACAGATCCAGAAGAGACAGGCGATGTTTGCTTTACAGGAGGAAGCAGCAGCGCAGATGCATCCGCATGAAAGGGAAGCACAGAAGGGCAACAACCGGTGAACGCACCTGGAGGTTCAGGTCCACTATGTTTTTATCACGAGGTCTCGAGCGATGGGCAATAGCTTTCAATTCTGCCTCTGGGGAAAATCCTACCCTACGTGCCACCCGGCCTGTAGAGAACATTTCCATCACTAGTGTTTGCCATGCCCCCAAATGTTTCTTTCTTTCTTTCTTTAAAAAGCACGGCATTATCAGAAAAGTCCACGCTGCAAAGTAAAATAGAGAACAAAATCGAGCAGGCGAGATCATTCAAACCCACAATTTTAGAAATGCCCTCCAGACTCTTAGATCAGGGTGGAGTGTATGTACACTGAAGTTGTTTCTTCGGACTTGCGGGTCCAAGTACTCTCAGTGTCACCTCCACGCGGTACCACACGGGGATGATTGCTAATATTTTCATTGACACAACAGTATCCTCAACTTGGTATACTTCACAAACGCCACCACGCTGCCCTCTGGTTGGACAGCCAGACCACTTTCTCACACACACCCTCGTTTTCAGTTCACCGTGGGTTAACCGCCAAGAGGAAAAGCAGTGAATGAATGAATGAATGAAATGGCATGCGGACACACCTCTTTATTCTGTGGCCGGCTCGCCAGCCCAGCTGTGGCAGGTTCAGTGACAGCAGCGTCAGCATCAGCAGGGAACTGAGTGGAAGGGAAGAGATTCGTGGAATAGCCACATGGCTCATTAATCTCATTTACACTGATATAGCCCTAAAAGGAGGAATTCGGAAGTTAGACACAAAGGTAGCAAAGGCTGAGGCATGCAAGAGTATTGATTAATATCCCCAGTACAATGAGGTTAGCTTAAAGCAGCACAGCCAGGTACGGGTGATTACATTATCAAATGTTTCATTAACAGGATAATCAGCAATTAAGATAGATTCCAAAGTACTGAGTCTTGAAAAGTCACGTTCCAAACATTAAAAATCATCCTTTCTGATGAAGTCACCATGATTGCATTATAAATAACCCAGCACCTTTGATTTTTAAACACCCAGTGGTGGCGGCACTCATTCTGTTCCCTGAACGAGGCTGTCATTACACATACATTCAAAACAATAACAAACGAAACACCTGAAATGTAACAGCACAGTCACTCTCTAATGAGAGTCCTTCCCACGAATTTTCATCCAAAGATCTTTTTGTTCCTTGATACATAGAACACACACACACACACACACACACACACACACACACATTTCTTTAAGGGGGAGTAGCAATGGGAGGATATCTAATTAAATAATTCAAAGTGCGTCCCCCAACCCCACCACAGAAAATTTCCTGGAACTGTTAAATTCAATAATTCACTTCTGGCTTCAGCTCAGAGCAGGTACCCACGAATCAAATCAACCAAAATCAAAACAACTGAATGTCTATTGGTGAAAAGACTACGCACAGATTTTCACCGGAAGTAATTACAGAGGCAAAGCTTTATTGTCATCATCCCGATGAAACTGTTTTTAAAAAGGATAAAACTCCAAAAGTCAAAGTCACTGTCGGCAAGTCAGCACATAGCAACCCTACAGGACAGGGTAGACCTTGCCTCTGTGAGTTTCTGACACTGTGACTTTTGATGTAAATAGAAAGCCCCGTTTTTCTTTCTCCCGCTGAGAGGCTGGTGGTTTCGAACTACTGACCTTGCAGTTAGCAGTCCCACACACAATCACTGAGTATAAAATAACATCCCTTGTAAAAGTTAAGTTGAGTCAACGTTGACACTTGGCATCTTGTAACTGCCCATCAATCCTTTCAAAAAGTGGTTCCAGGAGAGGCAAGAATTCCAGGCCGGAGACCCAGGTCTTTACAGAGATTTATCATCACGATGACAAAATAAAGGCAGCCAGAGTTGACGTTTTCTAAATTAGAGGCATCAAAATACTCCCAAATATAGTCTTGCATTTCAAAAAGGGGCAGCAGATGCCACGTGAAGCTTTATAAAGCTAAACTGAGAAAAGAAAGTGGCCATCTGAGTGGTCCGATGCCCTTTTATCTGAGAAGTTACACCGCTGTGCCATGCTTTTGAGCAACTGATACGAGAATGTTTTCAGTAAAATCAAAGTTTGATTCCCTTGTGGACCATAGACCACAGGAAGGTGTGCTGTCTGTAAACAGGGAGAGAGAGAGAGAGAGAGAGAGAGAGAGAGAGAGAGAGAGAGAGAGAGAGAGAGAGAGAAGCATCTTGGGCCAGGCCTGTGTGGTATAGGGAATTGAATGGAAAGTGACTCCCCAGACATGAGAACTGCAGTAACAACAAACCCTCAAGTGAGTTTTGACTCCAAGAAGTCTGCACAGAAAACAGAAAAAAAAACATGGAGACAGCAGAAGAGTTAAGATTTTATGGTTGCACTAAGAAATGAAAAGTCGCGGAACCCACCCAGTTCATTTATGTCGCCAGACCTCCAGACTTAGCATGTCGAGAGCCAAACCTATTCATCCCCAATTTTCCCTCTCAATCATCGATTCCAATACTCAAACTGGAAGGGCGGTGTAAAGCATGACCCCTCTCTTAATTAGCTCATCTCCACATCCAATCTCTCTGTAAGTTCTCTCAACGCTGACACCAAATCTAAGACTGCGCATCCTCTCAGTCATGGGTGACTCAAATCTAAATGCCAGACTGTTCATCCTGAAGTGGTACAGTTAACTTCTTACTTGTTTCTTTGCATCCTCTCTAATAAGCCAACATCCAGAGCAGCCACCATGACCCTTAAGAAAGTGCACATCCACTAATGTCACCACTCTGCTCAAGCCACCTCTTGGTTTCCCACTGCACATAAAATAAACGCTACTTCTAAAACTTGACTCACAAAACCCAGCTGCTGCTGCCCACCGCATGGACATTACCTAGGCCACTGTCTAATACTCACCACACTCCATTCACCACTCTCCTGAAACGGCTTCACCCACGTGCCTCTGCTTCACAAGTCAGAAGACCTAGGCATTGTTGTCCCCATTTTACAAGTAGGAAGCTGAGCTACAAACAGGCTAAAGAGACACCCCAAGGTCAGAGCCAGGGTCAAACTCATGAGGTCTGTCTCCACAATCCATGCTGTTAGTCATTACAATCAGCTGCCTCGCTTTTTCTGTCTTGCTCACACAGGCATCTCTGGTGCCCTGATACAAGCCTGTTGTTACATTGTAGGCACTTCACAAATATGTATAAAATACCATCTAGTTCATACTCTGTTTTGCACGTGAAGGAAAAAGATGCAGTGGGGTCCCCGAGGAAACTGTGGAAAGGGCCCGGAGACTACAACGAGAAAGCCAGGGCAGGATCCCTTAGATCCTGTTAGAAAGCAGACTTTGCACCCCAACAAGTTATGTTGAAATCCTCACCCCGGTACTTGTAAATCTAGGAGTGCTGATGCCACAGTGTTAAGCACTCGGTGGCTAACTGAAAGGTCGGTGGTTCAAAACCACCAGCTACTCGGTAGGAGCAAGAAGTGGCACTCTGCTCTCATAACGATTCCAAGACACCTAATCAAATTCCCTGGCAATGAATCCATGCTGACTCAGTGACACCTCTCCTACAGCTGAGAGACTAATTTGGACTTCTAGCCTCCGAAACTTTGGAGAGAGCAGGTTTCTGTTCTTTGAAGCCACTTGCTGTAGTATTTTTGGTATGGCAATATGAGATGACTAAAACACGTCTTGGCTTCGGCTCTCCCCAAGACTCCTTCCTAAGGTACTGCCTTAGCAGTCTGCAGACAGTTTTCAGAAACCAAAACAAATTCTACTTCTAAGAAGGAAACCACACAGGAGTTCAAATACATGAATCTGAATTTAGATTACTTCGTTTTCCATCAACAATTGGACTGTTGAGAGAGCAGGGTTACTTGACAATAAACACGTGTGGAATCAGCAGTGGATTCCCAACTGCAAGGCTGGCGGTTCACGCTGCTGTTCGATAGAAAGAGGAGGCTCACAGACAAACCGCTGGAGTAAAGATTGACAGCCTGTGTAGGGAGGATGTCAGACTCAACTCACTGGCAGCGAGTCCGAGGTTTGGGTTGTTTGTTCCATATGGGATTCGGAATAGGAAACTATTCTTTTAACAAAGTTATTTATCTACTCTTAAGAGATTGAAATCCACTCAACAGTAGTGGGTTTGGTGTGGGTTTAAGAGGGGTTGTGGAAGTAAAAGGGGGTTAATTCCATTTAAGTCCCACACTTAACAATGAATACATTTCCAACAGGTATTTCCAAAAAGAACCTCTTACACAGGTTGAAAATTTGCTCTAGAACATGATGTCAGATTATTTCACGTAGAAGCCTCAAATACTAAATGTGTAAATCTGTTATAGAAATGATAAAATATGTACCTAAATTATAATTTCTGTAAAATAGAAAGAAAGGAAGAGGGGGCCAATCCCACCTATGTAGATCCCTGCCCCCTAACATAAGAAGGCACTTCATTGGACAGCACTGAAGCTACAGCTTGGGATGAGGGGCATATTTGATTAGAGCACACAGGAGAAACAAAGAGGGAGGGAGGGGGAGGGGAACACATCCTGGCCCACCAAGCCCCAAGGATGATATTTCTGCTCAGAGCAGACAATGCACAGAGAGGACCATAGGGCTGGCCCCACCATGAGATACGAAGTCCCTCAATGAACCATAGCGTACTGGAGACACAGTGCAGGAATTGTGCCCAATCTGACCCCATCACACTGGGGCAAAACACCTTTCCCGGGGAATACCAAAAATAGACTTTGGAGACAGAGGGTGGCATCCCATCAGACTTGACTGGAAAACACTAGCAAGGCTTAATCAAGGCAATGTAACAGCAAGGAATTACTAAACCCGAATGAAGGCCGAACATGATGGTGGGACAAAAGGAAAGGAAAAGGAAATAGAGGCAAGAACCAGGAGGCAAAGGACATTTATAGAGGTCTAAATACAGACACGTACATAAGTAAATATATTTATATATAACGAGAGGGGAATAGATCTATGTACTTATATCTATATGTTAAGAATTAAGGTTGCAGATGGACATTGGGCCTCAACTCAAGCACTCCCTCAACACAAGAACACTTTGTTCTAACAATCCGTCATTCTGCCATGCTCACCTCCCCAACACGATTGCTGAAGACAAATAGGTGCATAAGCAAATGTGGTGAAGAAAGCTGATGGTGCCTGGTTATCAAAAGATATAGTGTCTGGGGTCTTAAAGGATTGGAGATAAACTAGCAGCTATCTAGCTCAGAAGCCACAAAGCCTACATGGAAGAAGCACACCAGCTTGTGTGATCATGAGGTATCAATGGGATCAGGTATCAGGCATCTAAGACCCAGAACAAAATCATACCAATGTGAATGGGACGAGGAGTGGAGACCCAATGCCCACCTGTGGACAATTGGACATCCCCTCACAGAAGGGTCACAAGGAAGAGATGACCCAGTCAGGGTGTAGCATAGCACCGATGAAACACAATTTTCCTCTAGTTCTTTGGTGCTTCCTCGCCCCCCTCCCCCCCAACTATCATGACCTCAATTCTACCTTAAAAATTGGATTAGACCAGAACATGCACACTGCTACAGATAAGAGCCCACAACACAGGGAATCCAGGATAGATAAACCCCTCAGGGCCAACAATGAGAACAGATACCAGGAGGATAAGGGGGGGGTGGGGGTGGGGGGGAGAAAGGGGGCAAACGATCACAAGGATCAACATATAAACCCTTCCCAGGGGGACGAACAACAGAAAAGTGGGTGAAGGGTGACAGAGGATGCTGTAAGATATGAAAATAATAATCTATAACTTATCAAGGGTTCATGAGGGAGGGGGGAAATGAGGAGCTGATATCAAGTAGAAACTGCTTTGAAAATGATGGCAACATATGTACAAATGTGGCTGAACAATGGATGAATGTATATGGATTGTGATGAGATGTAAGAGCCCCCAATAAAAGTGTTTAATGAAAAAAAAAAAAAAAAAGGATGCAAAAACCAAAATTTCCATTGCCTAATTTGGAAAACAGACAGGAATATAGTGTCATGTTTTACATAAATTTTTACTAGATATTATGATGCATTCTTTAAAAAAGATAATACTATTTTAGTATGTTTCAAAGCTGTTCAAAAATGTAATGGTAGGCATCTCTACAAAGGAATAAAAATCAAGAAATATTTGCTATTATGGAAAAAGGCATCAGATTTTTGAATAGTGGACAGGGCTATGTGAAACTGAATGATCTAATGAAGTTTATATATAAAGTATTATTTCTCAAAATGCTCTCAGATCTGTGTGTCAGAATTTATTTAATGGCAACTATTTTATTATTAGAATTTTACTTCACATATCTACATAAAACATATTTTATAGAAATGTCTAGCCCTGCTGTCTTTTTAAAGGCAACTTATAAACATTAGCATATGCTAAAGTAAGCTTTTTCCTTACTTTTTTTTTTAGAACACATTAAATATATAGAAAACAATTTTCTTTTCTTTCTCGCATTCAGGATTATAAATTCCCAGCTGAGAGATGCAAGAATCCATGATATTATAGTGTAGTTCTATAAAAAAAAAATTGTTAGGGGAAAGAATAGTGATGGAGTTGTGGAAAAGAAGGCTATTTGGGGAAATGAATGTATGTGGCTTAATGTAAATAAAAATTTACACACACACCCCCAAAAAGAAACAAGATTGATGTTTTACTAAGAAAAAAGAAAGAACTCAGACTATGTCTTCAAATGTTTGGGACATTTTCATCTTTTGTAAGATCAAAGAGAAAGTAAACAATGGATGGAGGAATAGAGAAGATTGGAAGAAGAGAAGAATTTATGACTCTCTTGAAACTCCAAGTTAAGCTACCGTGCCATTGCCACACATACGCACACACACAGTTCATTTGCTTTTAACACAAAAATAATTCCCAGAATCTACCAGGCTCATATAACGAAAGACTGGACAGCACTGAGGGCTTCCATGAGTCACTTCACTTAATGCTTTTACTATTCAGTGAACCCCATAAAACTAAAGTATTCTCCTGATGTATTAGGTGATAACTTACCTCTTATTTATTTTAAAAAAGTTTAGTTGACATAGAATGCACATATCATACAAGTCAATACTTCAGTCTTAACAAAAAAAGTTGTGAAATCATCATCAACATCAAATGTAGAACCTTCTTTTCTCTCTGTACTCATTATGGTTAGATCCCCATTCTTTCTCACCTCCCCCCCACCCATCCCTTAAGAAACTACAGTGACTGTTTCTATAGATTTGCTCTTCGGTGACGTGGGGCCAGCTCAGACCCACAGTGAACCTATGCACTACAGCACGAAACACTTCGGTGCTGTGCCGTCCTCACAGTGCTCCGGCAGAGTACCACTGATGCAGCCAGCATTTCATCTACAGAAAGATCTACCGAAACAAAACCCCAAACAACAGCAAAATAAAACAGAGAAGCCTCAATCAAAAAGAAAAACATAAACTTACCTCTTTTAGAGTATTGGGGTTGACAGGAAACCCTCTTCCCCCGGAGAGACTGGAGTATTTCTTTTCCAAATTACAAAGATTCTCCTTTTCCTGCAGAAACACAACACCTATTAAACTCTCACCAAGACACATGTGTTTGCTCTTCTGGCCGTTCATAGTGCCTACGATACTCTTGACCAAAATTCACATGCATCGACTCGTAAGTCTTCCTTAGGCATTTTCCAGTTTTCACATGCAGATGAAGCAATTGACAATAACACGGGTCAAGCACACCGTTGTCCTCAATGAGACACCCTTGCTCTTCAACACTTTAAAGAGGTCTTTGGCAGCAGAATTGACCAATGCAGTATGCCCTTTGATTTCTTGACTGAAGTTTCCACGAGCACTGGTTATAGATCCAATTTAAACGGAATCCTTGACAACTTCAAACTTTTCTCCACTTATCAGGGGTCCAAAATAATTTGAAAGACAGCTATGTGGGCCACTGGCTTTATTTTGAGTTGTAATGTATACCGAAGTGTAGTCTTTGGTCATCAGTAAGTGCTTTAAGTTGTCTTCACTTTTAGCAAGCTTGGTTGTGTCATGTGCACATCACAGGTTGTTAATAAGCCTTCCTCTGATCCTGATGCCCCATTTTTTTCTACATATGATGGTGTTCCCCTTCCAGAACAAAAAAACCCAAAAAACTGGAAATGTCATTGGGTGATGTGGAGCTTTTGTAGTATGCATTTTTCCCCGCTAGGCAAGCATCGAGCAACTTGTTAGTTAGTGCATCCAGTGGCATCACCTGGGAAAGTTCTCTCTGGTTACAGTGAAGTTTTGTGTAAAAGAAGTTTCGCTCGAACTTCGTTTTTGGTGACGGGTGATGTAAGAAAACAGAGTGCGGCTGTGGAAATTTTGTTTCCTGCTTGGGAAAAATGCCGCAGAAACTGCTGTAACGTTGAATGCGGTTTACAAGGGCAGCAGTATGGGAAAAACTCAAGTGTACGAGTGGTTTTCTCATTTCAAAAAAGGTGAAATAATTTTGATTGATGAAAAACCTCATTCTGGATGTCCATCAACTTCCCAAACATACAAAAGTGTCTACTCATAATGCATTTGGATTTTGTTCCACTAAGCTTTCAATTTAGAGGTTCTGAAAAGACAGTATAACAGTATGAGACAAAAAAGGTCTGATTTGTGCAGACAGTGGAATGGTTTTGCTACCAGAGGCAGTGCACCTGCTCACCCAGAAATCTCAGTGTACCAGGTTTTGGCAAAAAAACCCAAAACAACCAGCATGATCTCTTGCCCCACACAACTTACACACCTGACCTCGCTCCATATGACGCCTTTTTGTTTCCGAAAATGAAGAGGGACATGAAAGGACAGTGATTTGATGACATGGAAAAAGTGAAGGAAAAATGAGGGAAGTGCTGTCAGCCATCCAAACAGATGAGTTTGAAAAATGCTTCCAACAATGGAATCGCAGATTTAACCAATGTATTAAGTGTAATGGAGAGTAGTTTGAAGGTGATAGGGTTTTTTGTAAAAAAAACTTAAAATATATAGCTTTGAAGCAAAACAATTCCACTGGGGGGGAGGTACCCTCTCATATAGTCCAGCTTTTTAGATTATTTGCTCAGCATACAGAATGAATAAGTATGGTGAGAGAATACAAACTGAGACACACTTTTCTAAGGGAACCATACAGTATTCCCTTAGACTACATATATTTACAGGCTCCTCATGAGCACCGTTAAGTGCTCTGAAGTTTCCATTTTTCACAATGTTATCATTTGTTGGAATCCACAGAGTTGAATGCCTTTGCATAATCGATAAAACACAAGTAAACATCTTTCTGGTATTCTCTGCTTTCAATCAAGATCCATCTAACATCAGCAATGATATCCCTCCTCTTCTGGATCCTGCTCTATATATCTATTTGTATATCGGTATCACACTGCCTTTCATTACTACTTTTATAATAAGTCTTGAAATCAGACATAGAAATGCTCTCGATCTATTTTCTTGCTCAGACTTGCTTTGCCGTTTCTAGGCTCTTTGCATTTTCATATAAAGTTGAGCATTAATTGTGAATTTTCCAAAAGAGTCTGTTTGGATTTTGATTGGGACTGTGGATCATTTAGGGATAACGAAAAATCTTCATGAGTGAAGAAAGGTCACAACTTTTACCATAGAAAGACATTTTATATTTTGATTCAGCACATGTTACATCTTACAGTATGCTCACTTATTGTTTTAAAAAATCACTAGGGATATATTTCCTTTGCTAAAACTTCAATTCAAGTACTATATATATAAATATAGTATTTATAAACATGTATTTAGCTTTTTACTGTGAGTTAGGTGGGGTTCACAGAACATTCAGTAACTTCTTGAATCTCCCATTGGCTTGCCCTGCTTCCTCTTTTTCTCTCTCCTATCACCCTCTTGTTAGATATTGTCTTCTCCTTGCCCCAAGTTCACATGTCTACTTTCTAGGCTATTTCTTCCCCTTTCTTCACGCCCTCTCCCTCCCCAGTAACCATTCAGACTTTTGTTCTTTTGATATAAAAACCTTTTCTTGATAATCTTCCAGTCAGAGTGGCCTCATACAATCTGCACCCTTTTGTGACTAACTTCACTCAACCTCACGTCCTCCTCCAGTTCCATCCATGTCATGAGGTGCGACAGATCCGTCATTCTGTCACATCGTGAGGGATTCCACTGTGTGTACAGACCACCGTTTTTTTGGGGCCATTCTTCCCCAGGTGGGCATCTAGGTGGTTTCCATCTTCCAGCTACTGTGAATGGTGCTGTGAAGGGCATGGACGTGCACACCTCTGTTCGTGCGTGTATCTTATTTCTTTAGGGTATAGACCCAGCCGAGGGATTGCTGGGTCGGAGGGTATTTCTCTGCCTAATTGTGTGAGGAAGCACAGCGGTTGTGATAAGTACTATATTTTACACTCTGATTTAAAGCCTGCTTCTGAACATGGAGTGCAAGAAGTGAAACGGTGGTGGGGAAGTTAATGGCATCAACATGCATTCTCAGAACAGAGACGGGAAATGCGACTCCAGTCTGAGATTGCTAGGAGGTGAAGAAGTAGGAAGAGGACAGCAGTCAGATCTGTGCAGTTTCAGAGGCACCTCAAGTGGACTCGTAATTGCAGCTGAAGGACAAATTGCCTCTGCCATTTCAACCTAAAAATTACTGAGGTGGGAATCCTCTGACTGTAGTATTTCTCCCAAGTGGGACCAGGAGAGCCTCAATCGGTGTCTCAGACTTTCTTTCCTGGCACTCCTTTGTGGGTCACCTTCTATATCTTCCTGCTCCCACATGTCACACTTGGGCAAAGCTCACTCCTAAGACGGTCTTATCTTTATCCCTAGATGAGGGTCCATGCTGGGAAGTTCAATGACAGGTTGCTCTGTATCGTCTTTGAGTGAAGGAGAGCTCGTGGTGGTGGTGAAAAGGTTTGACACACTTTTAAAAGGCGTAATCGCTGACTGAAGGCTGTTGATTTGATTTCACTGAGAGGCCTTCGGAGAAAGGCCCAGAAGCTGACTTCTGCGAGAGCAGTAGTGAAACTGTTATCAAACACAGTTCGAGTCTGACATACGTGGATTGCCATGATCCAGCATCGACTTGACGGTAACTGGTTGTGGAAAGGAGTCCCGTACATGTAGGTCCACTTCAGCGAACCCAGTTCCAGTGGCGAGAACAGCCTGACCACACGGGGCAGCTGCCCATGCAGGCAGGCCAAAGCCAACGCAGCATTTTCCAGGAAACGCACACAATCAAGGAGGATTCAAAAGGCCAGAGCGGCCAAGCCAACATATTTACAGTACTAAAATGAGCATCTCTCCTTAAAAAACAATATAACCTCCCGCCAAATCCAACCGAAACAAAAATCCCTTGCTGCAACTGAATAGAATCCAACTCATGGTGACCCTGTAGGATCGGGTAGAACTGGCCCTGTGGGTTTCCAACACTGTAACTGTTTATGGGATTACAAAGCCTCCTCTTTCTCCTGTGGAGCCGCTAGTGGTTTCAAACGGCCCAACGTGCAGTCCACTTGGTTTTTAGATGTGCATTTCTTTTTTGGAAGAAAAATAAGATTTTCTAAAGGAGGAAACTTAAAAATACAGGTTTTCATAGTTCTAATTCTTGCAATGTGGAAAAAGCATCCTGGAGAAAATGTCTGCTTATTGTCTGAAGTCCAGTTAAGCATTCATAGGTCAGTGCATTACTAGTGTGGGGGGATGGAGTAAAACATACAGAAAAGGCTTTCTGAAATCACAAAGACATTCACTATTAAATAAACATGTAGATAAAAGTCTTTTTTAAATGACGAAGACAGGCGTTTTTAACAGGTATGTACTTCAAAGAGGGCAACTTTCCTCGCAATGGAACAAGCGGTTATTTTGCTGTGGGCAGGGCCCATACAGAGCTACTTACTCTTTGCAGCATCATTATCAAATTATTCTTTTCTTTCACAAAATGATCTTGCTCCCGCTGAGCCTGCTGGACAATGTGATTGGCTTGCTTTTTCAATGCAGAAATTTTCTCCTACAGGAAGAGATAATCAGAGAGAGCCGTACATGAGATCGTCAAAAGGTTGCCAGACTGACGAGGAGAGAGGGAAAGCCTATTTATGACGGGAATAACAGGGACCACGTTTTAATTGATGAAGGGCTCCAACCCCCATCCCTTTGTGTCACCAGGGGAATCTGAGCTGGGAGTTTGCTGGTGGTGGCGGGCTCATCGTTTCTGACCCATGGGCATGACCCAAAAGAGCCCACACTCAAACCAAACTCGTAGCTATCGAGTCAATTCTGCCTCTGAGTGACTTTACATAGGGTTTCTGAGACTTCCTATAAATCTTTATGGGAACTAATAGTCTCATCATTCTCTCTCGGAGCAGCTGGTGGGTTTGAACCACTGACCTTGCAGCTAGCAAGACAATGTTGAACTGACAGCAACACCAGATCTCCTTCCAAAAACCAAACCAAGTTTACTGCTAGCAACCCTATAGGACAGGGTAAAACCGCCCCTTCGGATCTCCGACACTTCAAACTTTTATAGGAGCTGATAGCCCCCCATTTCTCCTCTGGCAGATTGGTGAATTCGAACTGCTGACCTTGTGGTTAGCAGCTGAGAGTATAGTCCACTATGCCCCTAAGCCTCTTCCGGGGTTCCTTAGGCAGTGATAATTATGCAGAGTCTTGGGAGCTTTTTCTTTTGCTTGCCAACCTCAGCATTTTTCTTTACTTAAGGCCAATACAGTTCAAGTGCTTTACAATCTATTTTGAAGAACCTGGCAGTAAACAGGAAATCTTGTTTTACACTATAAATGAATCTTTGACCCCATGAGAAAAAACAACAATGAAATTTGTTCTTTTAAACTGAGAGCTGGGAAGTTTCCTCCTTCTCCTCGTTCCCTCAATTTTAGCAGATTAGTACAGCGTTCTCAAGCCTGACTCTAAATTACGGAGCAACACGAGGTTGGGTTTGGGTGCTTGGATGTGGGTGGGGACAGTACTTTGCGTAGAATTCCGTGGGCTATTTCTAGTGGCAATAAGCCACCAGTCAGCTTTGCTAATCAGTGAACAGAGAAAACAAAGGTGATCCCAAAATAGGCTTTGCTCATAGAATTAGTCTAAAGCGAGTTACTATGGTTGCAAAGGGAAGTAATTTACAACAAATGTCCGAATTCCTGATTTAAGTTTTCCATCTTAAAAAATAAAATTATTCACAAGCCCCAGGCAGGGGTGGCAGCTGCCTGCTGTCCTTGGCCCCACCTAGGAAATCGAACCCTCTCCTTGGCTGAGCCTCTGGTTGCCCAGGTAGATGGGGGTGGAGGCTACAGCAGCACTGCTGCCCGAGGGAGTGTGCCAGGTTGGGCCACCCACCTCCCCACTGGGTACGCAGGGACCAGATTCCCTGATCACTCGACGCACAGCCACCTCCACCTCCCAGCTGTGACACTGGGCACCCGGGGGCCAAATGCCCCGACCACTCATGCACGGCCACCCCCACCTCCCAGCTGTGACACTGGGTATCTGGGGGACAGTCACCACAGCCATACGACATCACCCCTCCCATCCCCGTCTGCCTCCTGCTTGGCCCTGTGCAGGGACTTGAGGACATGCTGCCCGGCTGGACAGCCCTCAGCAGGGCTTTTGCTCTGGTCGCACGTGTGGCACCATGTGGCCAACAAGCTGCTGCAGCCCACAGTCCAGTACTGAATTCGACTGTCCAGACCCCAGGCTTCTCCACTGGCTGCAGCCGCCTGCCACACTAAAGGGTGCCGCATGTCCCCTGAATAAAGGCCCACAGCAGCAAATAAATAAATAAATAAAATTGTTCATAAATGCATCTGTAGCGCAATGTAATGATGGCAGACAAGTCAAGGTAGCTCGTTTGAAATGGGAAGCATCGGCTGTATGTCAAAATCCATAATCTGCCAAATATGTTATTATGTGATCCATACACAACGAGATTCAATGCAGAGACAGATGTCATTGAAGACAACGACACTTTAAAGCTAGACTAACCATACTTATGCACCACTTGCCTCTGGATGTAGGCTAGATGGAATACATTTTGTTGTACCGTGGTGGCTTGCGTTTGCTGTGATGCTCGAAGCGATGTCACTGATAATTCAAGTATTAGCAGGGTTACCCAAAGTGACTAGGCTTCATCACACATTCAAGAATAAGAGCAGACTACAAAGAAGGAATAGGCTTCCAAGGAAAACCATGTGCACAGCACTGACATCTCAGATATTGACGGCCCAGTGCACAAAAGCAGCACACTGTCAGGGAGAGCGCCAGCTGTCGAAGCCCTCGGAACAGAAGACATTCAAAACATGACAGAGGAAGCGCTGCCTTTTCAAAGTAGCGCTGACCATAATGACGGGAGTTCAGTAAAGCCACGGGAATAAAGCCTTCAGAGCCCTCATCGACTGATGGAGAAAAACTCAAAATAAGAGACAGCTGTAAGATGCACTAGTAATCTGAACCTCGAATATATGACGTATGAATCTAGGCAAATTGAAAGCCGTCAAAAATGAAATAGAGCACTTAAAGATAAGCTAGGAATTCATGAGCTGAGATGGACTGTGTGGGCCATTTGGTATAAGAAAGTCATATGATCTACAATACCGAGAATGATACAATCATACAATCAAGGGAAAGGCATTGCATTTTTCATCAAAAAACGACATTTCAAGATCTCTCTTGAAGTACAAGGCAGTCCGTGAGAGGATTATATCAATAGTTATTACTTAAATTTATGCACCTTTACCACTAAAAAAGCTAAGATGAAAAAAAATTGAAGAATTCTACCAACAACTTCAGTAGGAAATTGATCAAACATGCAATCAAGATGCACTGATAATTATTGGCAATTAGAATGCAAAAAATTGGAAATGTGGTCTTGATAGAAATGAAGGTGGAGTTCATATGATACAATTTTGTAAGATCAATGACTTGTTTAAAGCAAATACCTTTTTTTCCACAAAACAATGACATACATGTGGACTTCTCTAGATGGAATACAGATAACTATAACTGACTACATCTTGAGAAGAAACCAATGGGGAAGCTCGATATCAGCAGCTAAACCTCGGCTGGGGCTGACTGTGAAGCAGACCACCAACTGCTCCTAAGTACGTTGAGGTTGAAGCTGAAGAAAGATAAAACAAGTCCATGAGAGGTAAAACATGCCCTTGAGTCTATCCCTCCTGAATTTCGAGAACACCGGTAGAAAAAAAAATATTGCTGCATTCAGCACTAAGGGCAGAAGACTTGTGAGCTGCAGATGAACAAGAGCATCATTCACGAAGAAAGCAAAATGTCGTTAAAAAGACAGAAGAAAGAAAAAATCAAAGTGGATGTCAGAAGAGACTCAAACACTCTTAATCACAGGCAAATGGAAGAAATACTCAAGTTAAAGAACTGAACAGAAATTGTAAAGGGCCGCTAGAGAAGGCAAAGCCAGGTATCACGTAATACGCAAAGACCTCGAGTTAGAAAACCAAAAGGAAGAACATGCTCAGCTTGTCTGAAACAGAGAACTCAAGAAAAATTCAAGCCCAGAGCTGCAATATTGAAAGATTCCACTGGCAAAATACGGACTGACATAGAAAACATTAAAAGAAGATGGAAAAAACACACAGTCACTGTACCAAAAAGAACCAGTCAACATTCCACCACTTCAGGAAGTAGCATATGAGCAAGAACCAATGGTACTAAAGGTGGAAGTTCAAGCTACACTGAAAGCATTAGCCAAGGCTCCGTGCGTTGATGGAATAGTGTATTTGTCTAGGTACTTTAGAGAAACAAATCCACAGCAACTCATGTATAAGAGTTTTATGTAAAGAAAGTGTGCATCACGAAAACATCCCAACCCAATGCTGCCCAAGCCCACAAGTCCAACATTAACCCATTAACCTGACACCAGTCCACAAAACAGAGGCAATGATGCCGACTGCAGGAGGAAAGCTGAGTCAGTAAATGAATAAGCATCTCAGCACTAGCAGGGGTCTCCACACGGCTGCTCCAGCACCCAGGGCTGCATTGGGATAGGTCCATGTAGCTTTTCCTTGGGGATGTCTTGTAGGAAGTCAATCTTGCAAGCTGAAGCGGGAACTGCTAAGGCAACTGCACCCTGGTGCGACCATCACAAAGCAAGAGACCGGAGAACTAGAAAGGCAAGGCTCACCACCCATTTATCCCTCCGCCTTTCAATTAGCCCCACGTGATTATCAGCCAGCTTGGCACAATTAACTAACTCAATCCACCCCTTGCCAACCTTGCACCTGTATATAATTCTTAGCTTCACAATTGCAATTAAGTAACACCTATACCTTAACCCTATAATCCTGTGAATTTTTTCCCCTACCTATGAAAGTTTGTAAGCCAACCACTTCATGCCTTTATCTCCCCCAATTTTGGGTATCCAATTTATATACTGTCCACTTACATCAACCCAGTTCTCAGAGAAGAAAATCATTTTTCAACATGAAGAGTCTTCATTCCAGTTGGAACCTTGTGAAGTCTGCATCCATAAGCAAAGTCAAATCCAGACAGGCCATCCATAAAGTCAGCAACAATATGCACCAGTTCACAGGCTCAAAAATCTTTATTTGGTCGGGTTCTGGTCAACTCAATGTGGGCTGCCTCACTCAGCCTCCACAGGGTGCCCATTGGTCGCCCTGCCTTAGACCATGGACTCTCACCAACTCAACAAGCCTAGGCCCCTCAGGCTAGGTCATGAACCTTAGACCAGTCAACCCGCTCTCGTCTTCTCCTTTTGCCCCTGTAAACAAAGTCCACAGGTGTCAGTGGCCAAACTCAACCTGTCTCTTTATTGCTGCATTTCTCCGACTGCTACTCAACAAGTAGATCCAGGTGGTCACCTAGCAAGCATTTCAGCCTGCTCACAGGCTCCCTTTAACATTCAGTCCCAGAGAGGAGTTTTCTTCATGGTTCCAGAATTTTTCTAGCTACTGACAAGGACTGCTGGTTCCTTAGTATTCCAAAGCACTGGGTGGGACATATATTTTCAAAGCTTTTTTACAGATATGGCCTAAACCCATTTAAAGATCAAATTTTAATGACTGAAGCAAGTGGACTTACAAACTTCCTAATTTTCCTACTTCCCATATTTTCCCCAGAAAAGCAACCAAGTAAATAGTGTGGCTTTATCTGACCTCTGGCTAGACAAAGATGGAAAACTTCCAGGAGGGAGAGGTCAAACAAACATCTACTCTCTATCTTATGACTTGTTTCTCCAGTACCCAACTCCCAAGGTACCATAATGTATTAGTCTAGGTACTTCAGAGAAACAAATCCACAGCAACTCATGTATAAGAGTTTTATGTAAAGAAAGTGTGCATCACGAAAACATCCCAACCCAATGCTGCCCAAGCCCACAAGTCCAACATTAACCCATTAACCCAACACCAGTCTACAAAGTCCTTCACCTCACAAAACAGAGGCAATGATGCTGACTGCAGGAGGAAAGCTGAGTCAGTGAGCGTGTAAGCATCTCAGCACTAGCAGGGGTCTCCACAGGGCTGCTCCAGCACCCAGGGCTGCATCGGGATAGATCCATGCGGCTTCTCCTTGGGGATGTCTTGTAGGAAGTCAATCTTGCAAACTGGAGCAGGGAACTGCTAAGGCAGCTGCACCCTGGTGCGACCATCACAAAGCAAGAGACCGGAGAACTAGAAAGGCAAGGCTCACCACCCATTTATCCCTCTGCCTTTCAATTAGGCCCACATGTGATTATCGGCCAGGTTGGCACAATTAGCTAATCAAATAGCAACTGAAATGTTTCAGCAAGCAGACACAGTACTGGAAGCACTCACTCCTCTAGGCCAGGCAATTTGGAACATAGCTACTTGGCCAACTCACTGGAAGAGATCCTTATTTGTACCCATTCCAAAGTTAAGTGACCCAGCAGAATGTTTAAATGATAGAACAATATCATTAATATCATATGCAGATAGTATTTTGCCGACAATAATCCAACAATGGTTGCAGCAATACATTGACAGGGAGCTGTCAGAAATTCAGGTTGGATTCAGAAGAAGGCATGGAAAAGGTTTATCGTTGCTGATGTCAGATGGATCTTGGCTGAAAGCCTAAAACACCGGAAAGATATTTACTTGTGTTTTATTGACTATGTGAAGGTACTCAACCGTGTGGATAGTAATACACTATGGATAACCTTAAGAAGAATGAGAACTCATCATACGTCATTGTGCCCCTGTGAAACTTATAATACACGAATCAAGAGGCAAGTGTGCGAGCACAACAAGGGAACATTGCATGGTCTAAAATCTGGAAAGGTATTCGACAGGATATAACACTCGATCTGTATGGTGAGCAAATAATCAGAGAAGTTGTCTTATAAGGAGAAGAATGTGGCATCAGGATGAGAGGAAGGCTTATTAACCACCTGCGATATGCAGATGAGACCACCTTGCTTCCTTGAACTATTTGTTGCTGAAGCTCAGGCACTGCAGTCTGCAGTATAGCTCACATCTCAATGAAAAGACCACCACACTCCTCCCAATGGGCACAAAAGGTAGCATCATGATAAAGGGAGAAACATTTGAAGTTGTCAAGGATTTGACGTTGCTTGGTCCACATGGAAGCAGCAGTGAAGAGATCAATGCATTCACTGCATTGGGAAAATCTGCTGCACAAAACCTCTTGAAAGTGCTGAAAAGCAAGGATGTTACTTTGAGGACTAAGTGCCTGACCCAAGCCGTTGCATTTTCAATTGCCTCGTATGCACACTGTGTATTGAATATGGAAGACCAAAGAAAACTTGAGGCAAGACAAATCTGTCTTCGACGAAGTCCAGCTGGAAAGCTCCTTGAAGGCAAGGATGGTGAGACTTCATCCGTGTAATTTGGACATGTTGTCAGAGCAGTCGCTGGAGGAGGACTTGGCGAGGGAGTGGGGCAGTGACAAAGAGGAAGGCCTTCAGTGAGACGGACGGACACAGTGGCTACTACGATGGGCTCCAACATAGGAACAGTTGTGAGGATGGCTCAGGACCGGGCAGGGTTTCATTCTGTTGTACACAGGAGTGCTCTGAAGTAGCAAACTCCAAGGCTCCTGACAACAGCAACAACCATTACTTATTGCCAATACGTGGGGTGGGTCAAAAAGGATTGCTACTAGGGTTCCAATTCCTATATGGCCAGGTTTATTTCAAACAAAATATGGTCAAACACGTGGCTACAATCCATGGATGCCAGTAGAACACTTGTCTCAGTAGGGTGCTATTAAAAGAAGGTACTTTGGACACTATAGGAAAAATTAATTTTGAGGTTGAGGCTAGTCTCAAATTTTAACCAACTTACGTGGACAACATCCCAAACTGCTGAAACGTTGCAAACGGTTTAAGGGAATGCTTCCCTAAAGAAAACAGTAGGTTTTGGGGTGGATTAAAAGTATTTTAAGGAAGATCAGGAGGACCTTAAAGAAGAGTCAAGACGGGGAGAACCAACAACCTTGATGAATGAAGAAACTATGGCCCGAGTCCAGACACAGGTTTTAAAAAAGTACAGAATTACCATCGATGAGGCGTCGATCCCCTGCGGTTTGACATTTCCGACGTTAAGTGAACATGCCGGCCTCAGCCAGTGCTCAACTTGATGGGCGCGGAAGGCGCTGTGCGACAGAAGCTAGCTCCAAGAGCCGATCGACGCGTTTGCCAGTGAAAGTTAAGGAAGGCTATTTTACGAAACAAATGATAATCAGGGACACGTCACGGGTTTACCAAAACCATCCAGAGAGCAAGGCCCCATCGAAGAGTGGCTTCCAAGATGATCTCTTGGCCCGGTTAAGTTCAAGGCAGAGCGATCAACTCCGAAGGCTGTGGGAACTGTCTGGGGACTCTGAGAGGGTGACTGGGAGGTTTTCTTGAATCACACAGGAGAATCAGGAATGGGAGGAGGGCTTAGTATGAAGTTTCAGGAAGATGAAAATCTGCAACAGTGAGAACAAGGACAGAAAAGGTGCCCCTAGAACCCCCCTCCCCCATAATGAGGCGCCTGCTGATTCATGGACGGTACCAGGGGCTGCTCTATGCCACTTTCATTGGGAAGTTCATCCCATCCAACCTATAGCCTTGATCTTGCCCCGCTTGACTTCACTTTGTTCCTCAAACTCCACGAATATTTAAAAGAAACAAGACACCAAGACCACATTTTGATGAGTGCAGATCAAAGAGCCCATCATTTTTCAGAAAGGTTCCAAAAAACCCCCAAGACCTAAGGAGTCTATCCTGCCCCTGTGGGTTTTCAAGACTCTTCCTCGTCACGGGAGTAGACAGATTGGGCCTAACTTGCACCCACTCTGTGCAGCAGGGCTCTTACAGGGAGAGGGAAATACTGCCTTCGGAAGAGTACGGATCTAGATGGAGGTGATGTTGAGCAACGTTGCCTTCTTCTGGATAGTTTTGTTTAACAATGGTGTTAGGACTTTTTTAGCAACACTTGTTGACTTGCCCTCGTATGTCTGCTGCCTTTTTCTTTGGCATTTGCCACACCAGGCACAGTTACCTTCCTGGTAGCGATGCTCCGCTGGTAGTCGGCCACTTCCCGCAGGAGCTGCTGGGTCAGGGTCTCCTTTTCCTCATCCAGGCGACTCTCATTCTCCAGCTGCTGGAATTCCAGGTCTTCAAAGTGTTTGCTTTCCACGTCCAGCAGGTCGGCGTCCTTGGAGGAAAAGGAGGAAAGAAGAAACAGCAGAATGACTACAGCCTCCGTCCCATGAAGAAGCGATTATTAAATGCAGACGGTTCAAATATTTTTCAAGTTATGACAGTGAACGGACTCAGAAGAAGGTAACGCTCTCTTTAGAGGTAAGCCCCAAAGCAGGGCATGCTACAGGGGAGCTGAAGTGAGAGGGATTGTTACCTAGCCATCGCTTGCCCACAACTCAGTGAACATCGGCATTCCTGCTTTAAATCCACTACGAGGCTTGAGAACGAATGGTGAAATATTTTTTGTCTGTAGACCAGAACTATGACAGTCTCCTGGGCCAACTATGTTGCTTGAATTTTTAAGTAAACTAAGACTTTAATAAAGAGATAGATTCAAGATTCATGCCAAACAGAAATCTCTAAGAGGAATGCATGCACCCTCAGTGGTACAACATGTTGGTAACTACCCCAAATGGTGTGGTAGTTACATCATTTGTTGTCAATTTGAGATTTAAGAGTGAAGGGGTGGAGTTTAGCCTGTCAATCAGGTCGCAGCTTGATGACCTCATTCGGAGATAAATAGCTCACTGGAGGCGGGACACAAGCTCACTACCTGTGAGACATTCCTGTGGTCAAGACACATGGAGCTACACTAGAGCCGGGGGTGAGGGTGGGGGTGTTTGAAGGAGCCACATGGAACCCCCTGCCAGCGTTGAGATGTTTTCAGTGCCACTGGATCCACAAGACTTTCCACCCACGGGCCTGTGATCTTCCTAGTATGTATTTCATGAATCTGAAGAGGACTTTATAGATTGGTATCAGACATATGGACTAATATTGGACTTAGGGACTTGATCTGGACTGAGCTGGGATGTTTTATCAATCTTCAATACCTCTTGTATATAAAGCTTTTTCTTATATACCTACATATGTGTCTATGAATTTGTTTCTCTAGTCCACTCAGACTAACACAACTGAGATGTGAGGAAAAGATAGCATCCATTTATCATACTTAAAAGTTATTAATTTATTAAAGTGTTTTCTTTTTCAACTACTTAGTAGATATTTCCTAATGTACATGTAGGCAGAAGAGTATAGTTACTTAATTATGTATATACATGTATATACACATACATGTACACACACACACGTATGTATATATATATATCATGTATGCCCAGAGAGTTTTATTGAAGGGAATTCAGAACATTTGGAGATTGTGATGCTAATACCCATTTGATGCCAGCGAGTTTATTCCAACTCATCGTGACCCAAGAGGGCAAAATAGAAATGCCCCTGTGGGTTTCTAAAACTAACTGTTTCTGGAAGTAGAAAGTCATCCTCGGAGTGGCTGGGGATATTGAATTACTGACCTCATGATTAGCGGCGTACTGCACAATCCACTATACCACCAGGGCTGTAGGCTTCTTGAATCCCTGAAAATTGCTCACAAACCTTTGTCTACCTGCATTTTCCTGGGAAAACTGTTCCACAGTGTTGACCAGTCACAAGTGTGGATTGTCACTACCCATTTAAGGAAAACCTGCGATCACAGTAATTAAGTGGTTGTAGAAGAGGTTTTCTGCAATGTGAGATGATTTAGTGTAGAAACCATTGCATTCATATATCTCTATATGTGCAGATGGGTGCATGTTGTAAAACAATGCTCCAATCTCCAACTCTAAACATCTCTGGCTTTTGGAAAACTTTCACAGAACTATAAATAGAAGCTTCTTAAAAATATAAATTATTTATAACTTAAAAATGATAAATTATTTGTCATTTATAAGTAATCTACGATCTGAAGGAAAGTCAGCTGGATTGTGTCAGCCAAGGATCTATAGAAGTTACTTAGCCTGGACTCTACATACTCCTTGGTCAATTAGACTTCAAAAATAAATGGGGTAAACAGTTTAAAATACTTTTTAACTCTCTACCACCTCCCCACTCAGTTTTTATGTGAATAATAAATTTAGCATTTTAATCAAATGGAAAACATTTCTCTCTTTTGTAATGAATTGCAGTCTGGGGATGATTCATAGAATGATTAGCTACCATGCAATTACCACCAACACTATAGCAACGAGGTGATTATGTCAACAAAGACTGTGGGGTCACAAAGCTTAAACACAGGGAAAGCTTACGTTAAAAACGTAGGCAGCATTTCTTAACACTTCCTTCCATTTCATTTGGCCACAGGAATACAGTCTTGGTTCAGTGTTATTTATTACACGTAACATTTATCTGTGAGTTCGACAGCAATTTCTAAAGGAATTCACGAATTTGGACAAAGTCTAGTTGCTATAGAAGGAATGAAAGCACAACTCAAATTGATCTTGAGACAAAATATCTGTAATTTTGCTCTTGCATATCAAAACAAAAGAACTGATCTATTTAGGACTATACATGCACAGAGGTGAAGAATAGACTTGATATGGCCAAGAGAGACTGCAGTCACAGCCCATGGCAACTCAATGCCGACTCTGAAAACCAAGTCAGATCGCTCCTGTCCTATACTAACCCTATGTGCTGTTGAATGTTACAACTCAGAGCGACCCTGGGGCTCAGAGAGGACTGCATCTGAAACGGCGAGCTTCATGGGAGCAGACTGGCCAACTTCCTCCTGTGGGAAGCTGATGGGTTCCAGGAGCCAAGCTTGAGCTCAGCAACAGAACACTTAAGAACCGCTGCACCAGGACTCGGTACGCTGCACAATCAAACAATCTCAGTGGACACTGTTCACTGGAGAAAGATGATGGAAGTCACGGAGTCCCACACCTCCTCACTTGGAATAATAAAAACATGGAGGACCAAAAGGCTGAATGACTTATCCAATAGGAAAGGTCAAACTGGCAAAATGGTAGACCCACTGAGAGGGGGAAAAGTCTCCTGATTATAATGATCACTTTAGAGAGATTTTTTTTTTAATTTAAAGATGGAAATCAACCGTTCATCTAACTCCGACTTTCTTTGGGACATTACTCACCATCCCAGGGAACACTTCTACTGGCCGGTCTGTGTCAACTGGGAGCCCTGGTGGCACAGCAGTTAAGCACTGGGCTGCCAACTGAACCATCAGCAGATCCAACCTACCAGCCGCTCGGGGCAGTCTGCCTTGCTAACAACTGACAGACTTAGAAGCAGCAGTTCGACACTGCCAGGCCCTATGAGTTGGAATAGACTCAAGGCAGTAAGTTTGTTCCTATTGTCTGTTTGTTTATGTGGATGAAACCAAGGGGGTTGCTGACAAGTTACTTGGGATCTTATTCCAGGAGAATAAAGTGAACAGATCTCTTATGATCAGAGGAACAGAGGCTGCTATCCGCCAGAATCTCTCCTAAAATAAGGGCTTTATGACCAGAATTGTATACTCTCCTTCCAGAGGCAGGGGGAGGGGCACCCTCTGTGCATCATGTCCCTTTCCCTGTTTGTGGTCAAGCCCCTGAGAATTTATTAGAAAAAATATGGGTTATCCTACAGAATCTACATGAAAGAAATAGCAAGTATTTATATCAGTGTGCATTCCCATGATTAAATGACTCAGTAAGTCTATTTAAAGTAATGTTTATGAGGAACACACACAGTAACTCCATAAAGGAAGGGAAAAACAAAATAGATAACTGTACTACCGACCCTGGGTAAAGAAATTCATCTTTGTACAATAAAGCGAGCAGAGGGGAAGAAACCTTTTTGAAGGTGGTAGCCAACCTTGTCAACCTTGTAAGCAATAACAAGCACCGCTTTGCAGTTTAGCCTATTTATAAAGGGCACTTCTTATTCCATAGCTTTCCATCTCTGTAATATACTGAACGGTGCAGTTCTAATGTTTTATTGCCCGCGGATGTTCTCAGAGGTCTGAACTAGTTTTGTATCTAAGTCGTTTAAAGCATTTTCAAATGTGAGTCATCTGGATTAAGGTTGCAACTTGCCTAGTCTCTGGATTCATACACGGTTACATACCGAGAACGGATTAGGGTTGTGTCACTCCTTTAAAAGTCCCAGCCTGTTAACGATACTTCCTCAGGATCACAGTTGAGAGGAAACAGCCAAGCTGTCGAGAAGCTCAGACATAGGAAGTGACCATATGGTGCGTGCCTAACACTTCAGGAGGACTTCCGGCTTTCAGAACATAACCGGCATGGACAGGTTATGCGACTGCTGGAGCTGCATAAAGGTTGTGAAGCTCTCGGATGAGAATGCTTTGAAAGTGTGTGCAAAACCCTACATCTCTGGTCTCAGTATTTGATTGTGGTGGTCACGTTCCTGAGCCTCACTGCCACTAAGAAGCACAAAGACAAAACAGTCGGGCTGGATAGAAAGGAGCTAATGAGAGAAGGGCATCATTTGAGGACAAGAGTACAAAACCAAGCTAGGAAAAGAAGGAAGGGTGGGGTGGGTGGGGTGGGGATGAAGCATTCCAAGGTAAATCATCCTCCTGAGACAGCAGAGCATAAAGACGGAAATGCCACTTGAGTCAAATGTTACAATTTGGGTAGAGAGGACAAATCCAGAGGAGTCCTTTTGTCACAAAGAATAACTTGGCATTATAAAGTAGGTGTAGGTCTTTCACAAGGAATTTTTCAATGGATTGGCACAATTATATATACGGGCAGCATGCAAATTTCCATTTAAAAATTATCTAGCGACTAGAATTTATGCAAACATATGCTACATGAAGTATAAATCACAGGCAGGTGGAAGTTAATTCAAGGGGAAAATAGAAACAAAGGCCCCAAACCGGGTGCATTCCTGTTTGCTACTGACCCTCTGCAGTTGCTGCTGTAACTGCTCCCTCATGGACTCAGGACAATTGTCCAGCTGGGTCTTCTGCTCGGAGAAAAGCTCCTGAAGCCTCTCTAGTTTTTCCCTTTCAGCATCAAGCTTGACCTTCTCCTGAAGGTCAAAAATCAGAAAATAGAAGAATAGACATTATCTTCATACCTCACGCCGGCGCTGGTGAACATTTCCCAATGGTAATACAAACACAAACATACAAAAACTCTAGATATTCTATGAAACACATAGCAATATGTCATGCTAGGGACTAGCGAGAGGAGGTGTGGATGAAAGGAAAGACAGGTGGCCCCTCCGTACTTCCCTAAGGCACGGTCCACTTTGTTGGGCGTTGACAGTGACTTCCCTCTTCCTGCCCTCCTGTCACTGTGTTGAGAAACAGGTGGAGCATGATAATGTTCATCTGTGGTCAACAAGACACACACACACACACACACAAGCAAAATAAATGTCAGTGAAATCCATAAGATAGCCTTGCAAAGGGCCACTTGTCAGAGAGCCGAAGAGAAAGGCATAGAGCTGGGATTTCTCGTCTAAGCACTGTCAAACATCCACTTCGGTCAAGGCATTTATTAAGTAAGCTTTGGAAATTATCAAAATTTCTTCTCGGGTCTAAGGAGTTCTAGGTGCACTCATGGATATCCCAGGTACATAAGGTGTTATGTCAATGGAGACCACCCTCTTGAAGCTGTGTGATGCGCTTTCTGTTCTTCGCTATGTGAAGCCCAGGCTCAGTGAACCTAGAGGGGCAGCAAGGAGAAAAAGGGGCTCAGAGGGAGCGGGGTACAGTGGTGGTGGGAGACGATGTCAAGGAGTCCATGTAGCAAAAGACTGTTTGGAAACTGATTGTGGTAGCAGTTGTGTAATTCTACTTGACGTGACTGAAATATGGATTGATATGGTATATGTATGAGATTCAAACTAATAATAATAATAAATAATTGTTCTAGTAGTGATTTGGCAAATTTCAGAACCGCAGCAATAAGAGAGTGAGGTTCCAGCGAGGAGAGCATCTAATTCAGAGGTTATGAGGGCTAATACAAATGTGAGAACACTGGTTGTGGTTGGAAAGAGTTCTACAAGACCGGCAGAGAAACAGGGAGAAGTTATTTCACTATAGCTTAGATAAGCAATGATTAGGAAATTTACTGAGGAAATACAAATGATCCTTTAATTAATGAATGACTACAAGACATTAAAGCATCGATGGTGGGGCAGAAAGACGGAGAGAACATTCAGGAGCCAGACAATGAATGGAAGAGAAAGGAGAAGCTCACGCTGAACCCCTCCCGTGTCACACATGCCCGAGTGACCCTCACAAACTGCACTGTGGCCTCACCAATGCCACCTCTTCAATAGAGAAACAAAACACCATCTGTTTAAGGCCACTCTCCCCACCTTGTGTCCACGTTGTGAGGCGTGGAGCCCTCAATGCAGAAGTTAGGTCACACCTGCCCCTTGGGTAGGCCCTCAACCTAAACAGAGACACTGTCCGAACCACTACCATGAGGTGACCCTCTGGAAGCAAGGTAACCAACGCCCCGTTTTCCTAAAGCTCACTCTACATGAACCAGTAGAAAGAAAATCACCCAGAAGCATATCACATGAAGGATCGACCTATAACCTCCCCCCTGGGGGATGGACAACAGTAAAGTGGGTGAAGGGAGACGTCAGACAGGGAAAGATATGACAAACATTTATAAATTAGCAAGGGTTCATGAGAGGGGGAGAGCGGGGAGGGAAGGGAAAAAATGAGGAGCTGATGCCAGGGGCTTAAGTGGAGAGCAAATGTTTTGAGAATGATGAGGGCAATGAATGCACAAATGCGCTTTACACAATTGATGTATGTATGGATTGTGATGAGTTGGATGAGTCCCTAATAAAATGATTTTTTAAAAAGAAATAAACCAAAAAATAAATGAAAAGTTATTATGGTTTAAATTCAATCCTATAAGATAGGAATATCTGTGCCAGTTTTGCTTCCATCTCTATTTCTGGCTTACATTTCACAGAAAATGTAGAAACTTATATATGTTTTCTTTCTCAAAACATTTAGACCCAGAAGCCATAACACTGAGAAAAGAACTGAATTGTTTGCAGAAACAGAAACTTGACAATTTCTCTCTTCTGGCTCCAGAGCAAGTTTTCATCTACAAATTCTACATTTGGGCGATCCCAAACCATCTGAACATTTTAAGGGAAGAGTTGCCTTTTCAAACACAGCTGTTAAGATGGTTACATCTACTCAAAATCCTCAAGCCCTGCTGAAGGCTGAAGAGATCGCAGTTCTAGCATTAAAACCTATGCTCTTCCCATATCCATTTGAACAACAGGAGACCCTGCTGGTCTCTCACACACAGACGTCCCATCGTAATTACTTCAGGTCAGAACTAAAAGACCGCAGCCATTTCTTAAGCAAGCAGAGGGTGAGATCTTTCATAAAGAGCATGTTTTAATCATCAGATATTTTGATAATTCTGGTTGAGAAAATGAAAAATGCTCCATGTTTCAATTAAAATGGAGTCTGCAACAACGTGAACCGCAGTAGATGATCAGGACTGCCCTCCACCGTGACTGGCATGGCTGCTCCCTGGGCACACACACTGCTCACGGGCTGGCAAAGGCAGCAGCATCCTTCACAGAAAATGGAAACCCCAAATGTTAACCTATGCATAGTCTAAATGATCACTATTTTTTGCTCTTAATAATATCAACAATACACACCGATCTCATCTGGCTCAGAAAATGTGTCATTTCCTCTGTCTGTAGATTGAAGGTGGCCTTATCGAGCAAGAGAATTCTGTCTAAAAACAGTTCTATTTCTATTGCTAACCTCTGCAGCAAGCCTAGTTCAAAAAGGAAAAAAAAAAAATCAAACACCACAAAACGTTTCATGAGTTCAATGCCCTATGTGCAAAGCCCTAGAATTTAAATTTATATTTGCTAAGCAACATCGATGCCGCGTTTGATAGGTGGAAAAGAACTCATTGGAAACATAGGTTTCAAATCTGAAACCATCACCAAACCATTCCTCAGGGGCTCTCAAAACTCTCTTGTGAATAACAAGCACAGATATAACAAGCACGGAAGACAACAAGTTTAAAAAAAATACCTCGTGTTTACATAGTGCCTTCCTTCTGAAGTGCTCAAAACGTTTCACAATTCCACACAGGGGGCCCGGTTAGGAGAATTACGCAAGCTGGCACCATCAGCGCGTTGTTGGTGGCTTCTCTGTAGTTTACCAGGACCGCTGCGACCACGACCGGGGTCTCAGAGCAGAAGCTCAGGGAGGTCAGAGCTCGAGCAAAGGAAGTAGCAGGGTGAAAGGAAGGGCGAGTGGCAGGTGGGTTGGGGCAAAGATCAACCAGGGCCACAGTGGTGACATCACCCCTGCAAGAAGCCAGCAGGACACCAACCCCGTGCCAGAAAGAAATGATATTCCTCCCTTCTCTTTACTGCCCAGGAAATTTTCAAAGGAAAACGAACACTAGACAGGTAGTTAATGTGAGCTCTGAACACCACCTTCCACCATGAAGGGAGGATGAACAGGCGCACACAATTCACAGTATTTAAGGCCTTCTTCATGTAAAATATTAAAACTGAGTGTGATTCCCTCTACTCTAGAGTGAAATAGCTAGGCTCCCCTAGTGTAATTACACCAAGCACAATGACCATCTTCCAAAATTCACAATAGACAGATCACAACTTTTATTTCTTTTTCTGGGTGGTGGTGCTGCTGGTAGGGCTGTTGTTGATAGTGTTAAGAGTTACTTTCAGTAAATGAATTAAAATTCACTTTTAATCAATTTTAAAATTCTCACACTGTTTGGGAAACATGATTATAAGAACCTGGAATGCTTCATGTATAAAGAAGCCTTTTGATAAGTAAGAAACGACCATGATTACCCTAGGATCCAATAACTTCCCGGAGCACTGTTCTCACATTACCTTGGCTTCTCTTCATGTACCAGCTGGGTTCATTGCCAACCTTAAAAGTCATTGCCAACCGTATTTCCTGTTTGGCTATGGTCAAAGATCAATTATTCACCATTACATTAAAAAGGAAACCAGGGTAGGAAATTGGGTCTCTGTTTGCATCAAAGTGAATGGTGCACTCACCAACTCAATACCTATTTCTAAAGGCCCTAAGAGAAGAGACGGTGGCACGTGGTTCAGTGGGATCATTCAAGTCTTCCAGGTGGGAGACCAGGTTCAACTCCCAGTCCATGCTCCACAGGCAGCCACTATTCCATCTGTCAGGACCGAGTACTGACATCATACGGAACAGGTCACAATGGGGTTTCCAGACTAGCAAGAAATTCCTGGCAACTTACTTCCAAACATTAGTCAACAAAATCTCTATGGATTACAATGGTCCAATCCAGAAAGATCCTTGAGATGGGGGTGCAGGACTGGAGAGCACTTATTCTACGGTGATGGACATCATTGTCGATCAAAAGTACGCAAAGCAAGCGAGGTCCAGAAGAGACAGGACTTGATTGCAGCTTCCTGATACAGTTCTCTTAGCCCTGCGGCCCTAACCCTTGAGGGCACATCAGAATACCGTAATCTAAGGGAGCTTTAAAATATACCATTTCCCAATTCAATCAGACACATGGACAGGAGAGAGGGTATAGCCTAGAGATGTATAGCTTTATAAAATCTCTCTAGGTATTTGTCTGCAACTCAAAGCAGAGAATGAAGGCTGAGTCAGAGATGGAACGGAAGTGCAGGACCAGCAGACTCCAAGAGCCACCCCCTCCCTTGAATCGACTGCTACCAGGTATTCTGATCAGGGTCCTAATGAGGAAGCCTCATAAAACAAGGCAGGTAAACGTGATATAGAATTTCAAATTCTCAAAGAATCCAGACTTATTGAACCCAGGAAACCGGAAGAAGCCTCCGGCACTGAAACACTCCAAACCTTGAGTGGGGTAAATGCTGACGCCCCCTTCTCACAAGATGGGGGGTAGCTCAAAACGTAGAGAGTGTCACCTTGGAGTACTGCATTCTTTAAAAACCGAACCAAACCCAGTTGTCCACAGGAGAGCAAATGGACAACCGTCGATCGTCCAGAGGAGAGTAAGTTCACGGGGATG